TGTTAGTCGCAGGCACTTCAGACAACTGTGAAAGAAATGCAGTAACGAGACCCTGCCAGAAAACTCTGTGATAGCTCCATTGAATTGGGAGTTTTATTATTGAAATCTATTCCAAATTCTTGAAAAATGAATAATAATAAATAGTGTGGTCTTCATGGAAAGTTGAATACTCAGGGAGAACAGGGCTAGGAAGAATGCCTTTAAGAGAACTATGCTGAGCCAGCACATCTTCCTAAGTGGGCAGGTGAAAAACACTTGCATCGTTCAATGTTCTTCACTTGAGCAGGACTGGTAGAATGGATCTCTCTCTTTGTAGAAAGTGGATGCATTAGACTGGCTCACAGGCTGTGGTCCAGCTAGTCCAACAATGGCTGACTTTTAGTGGAAATGTGAAGTGTCCAGTAATTGTTTGGTTTATGAGTCTGGATGTCTCAGTTTATCTTCAGCACACATGAGTATTTCAAAGAAGTGGGCTCTACAGCTATTAAAGAATAAACTCAATTGCAGAGCTAGGGCAAGCAGGCAAAGAGAGAGAGAGAACTCTTTCAATATGCCTTATAAATGTACAGTGCCACCAAAATGTGTGACCCAGATTACAGATGGATATTTTTTCTCATGATTTTTTTATTTTGTTTTTATTGAAAACATCATTTATCTGTGTAACCCTGCATCTCATTCTGTGGACCAGATAGACCTCAAATTCAGGACACACAACAGCTTCTGCCACTTAAGGGCTGGAATAAAGATGTGTATCAACACCAAGCTAGTAAAGGTGCACATCTCCAAAGATCTAGATACGTGTTCCCATTTTAAATCCTTGATAAGAAAATGCCTGCTGGGCAGTAGTGCTGCACGCCTTTGATCCCAGCACTAGGGAGGCAGAGGCAGGTGGATCTCTTTATGTTCAAGGCCAGCCTGGTTGTCAAATACATTTTCAGGTCAGTCTTGAAATCTACAGTGAAAACCTGTCTCAAAAACAAAACAAAACAAAACAAAAAAACAAACAAACAAAATAAGAAAGAAAGAAAGAAAAGAAAATGCCTACCAGGCACTGTTGGCACATGACCTCATTCTAGGACTTGACAGGCAGAAGCATATGAGTCTCTTTGAGGTCAAGTCTACATAGCAAGTTCCAGGACTGGTCCCATCTCTAAAGAGAAACGCTGTCTTGAAAAAAACAAAACTAAAAATAACAAACAAACAAAAAATGTCCAACCTCATTGAATTTTAGGATTCCAGAAGTAATCAGTTTGACTACCTAGAATAGCTATACAAGTTTTGATGTTACTTATATTTATAGGGTTTCTCTGCAGTATGGTGTTTTTCATGATTTTAAAAATGGATGATACATACCAAGGCTTTAGCCCATTAATTATATTCACAGTGTGTATCTTAAGTATGTATTCTTTTATGACTTATTAGACTGCCATATTGTGTAAAGGCATCACATATTTCTGATGCTTCCCCCTCTCATTTCATGACATGGACATTATAATATATTCACCCAGTCACTTTACAAGGAAATTGAGTAGGAGGTTCACATGCACCATTTCTTGTCCTTTTAATTAGCAAATAGCCTTGAGAAAGAAATCTCAACGAACAGACATGAAGAGAGAGACAAGCTAGCACATCAACACTACTGAGAAGACATCAGAGAAATGATATGATACGGCCAGCCTATCACAGCAATACCCCAGTTCCTGGTACTAATGTCTGTCTTAATTGGGTTTTTATTGCTGTGTGGGGACACCATGAACCATGGCACTGCTTAAAAAGAAAATATCTCATTGAGCTGTCTCCCTTAAAATTTCAGAGGTTCAGTTAATCCTCATCATGTCAGGTGGCATGGCAGCGTATATGCAGATGTGCTACTGAAGGTTTGAGTCATTACATCTTGAGTCATGGGCAAAAGGAATTTGACTGACACACAAGGCAGCATCCAGAGTATAGAAATATCTGACCCCACAGTGACCTACATCTTACATAATATGACAAAGACAGCATGGGTATAATTTCCAAGGGAATTCTTTTCCTAAATGAGGCAAGCATGGTGATTTTACTTAAGGACTACAGAAATGTTCCTGTGCAGTAAGTCAACAAATCCATTTTGGGACATCATCAGAATGCAAAAGCAGAAATAATTACAAACATTCATATCTCAGGCTTACCAAAACAAAGGGACTTGCATTTAGGGGTCACATAATCAGGAAGGGGGATAGCCACTGATCTAGGGGTGACAGAGTATGCCCATCTGTTGCTGGAGGGAGATAAGAGTCACTTTCACACTTGGAAGAACTGTGTCCATTCTGTTCAACTATGTTCATATCAGCATTACTGGTAAAAACCAGAAAATGAAAACTGCTTACATGCCCCTCATCTTAAGAATGGTTGGAGAAAATGTAAGACATTTACACAGTGGGCCACTACTCTGCAGTAATATGGATGGAATCTTAAAATTGGCAGACAAAATGATGAAACTAAAAGAAAACTTCCTGAGTGAAGTAATCCAGTCACAAAATGGCAAACATGGTATATACATACACATATATGAATTTTAGAAATACATCAAAGGATTACCAACCTTCAATCCAGATAAGCAAGGAAACAAGGAGGACACGAAGTGAAACATAAATAGTCCCCTGGAGAAGAGGAAAGGGACAAGATCTCCTGAGATTATTGGCAGCATTGGGGGAGGAGACAGTTAGGAGAAAGAGGAGGTGAGAAGAGGTGAGAGGACATGAGGGAGCAGGAAGTTTGAGTCTGAGGAAGAACAGAGGAGAATAAGAAAAGAGACAGCATAATAGAGGGTGCCATTATATGTTTGTCTCCAGGACATTCCATAATAAAGGGAGCCATTACAGGTTTCTTTCCATGAGGAAGGAGGGAGTACAGGAAGATAGTAGGGTCTACTCTCGGAGCCTGGTCAAGTGGTAGTGAAATATATATATATTTGTCTGCATTGGAAGGCCAGCTTTAGAATCATTGTGCAGTGTCTTTAAAGACAGTGTAACCCTATGGGAGCGCACTTGTCACTCATTACTCACTAGCCAATCAGTTCCTCCAGGTGACCTGTCAGTCACAAGAGGTACACAGCCCTTCTGGTTTCCACTTTCAGGCTTGTCTCTCCAGAGGAATGGGTGCCTTTTTGTGTGTGCTGTGCTGGGAGTACTGCTACGGGGAGCTGAGTGGAGAACTTGGGTGAGGTGGAAGAACTCACCATGGTAACTTAGGGGCTGAGTGGAGAATTTGGGTGAGGTGGATGACCTCAACATGGTTACTTAGGGGCTGAAGTCTCCAGATGGGGAGGAGAAGCAGCCAGTGTTGTGGTTCCTCCCTGGATCTGAGTGGGAAACTGAAACCAGATTGCTTGTCCTGTGTGGTTCCATGTGGTCCTTTCAACTCCCTGGACCCAAGGGCAGGCATCTGAGAAACTTTGTTCTGCGGGCTGAGTCTGTTCAGAGCATTAGGAGGAGGGAGGTGTGTAGAAACATATTTGTAGTCGACATCAAGGTGCTTATGATGCATCCATGGAAAGGTTGCTGAGCTTTGAGAGGCCTAATTCCTCTAGTATCTTCTAGACATTCATCGTTTTGTGTTTTAACTTCATGTGTAAACATCCATTACTTTGGAAGTTGGAAGAGGAATCTGATGTGTTTGGTTGCACTCCACTTACATGTCTTGATATAGAAGAGCAGAACTGGTGATATAAGATCGGCCAATGCTTAGGCAATGAGTAATAAGTCTCACAAAGTAGAATTTAGCAGAGGGAGGACTGCCTCTAAAACACACAAAGATAAGTATATGCTAACCAGGCCTGCTAGAAATTAGGATGCTAGAATATACATTTGTTCAATGGGATTGTCAAGACAATTGACTACAAGCTATAACAAAGCAGCCACCCCTGATTTACAACCATTTACTAGGCCTATTCCTATATCAAAGAACAGGCCTATAACTAGCTGCTCAAGGAGTCATTACAGGTTCACAACCAACCTTAAGGCCTGTTGTGCCATTAAGTTCCAGTTTTCCTCTTTAGAAAAGCATAGTTCTGCAGGTGGGCAGTAGAACACCAGGGGACAACTTTTTGGAAAATAAAACACTGTTATGTTTAGGACTTGCATGATCAAGCAAGGCTTTCATTTAGGCCTTCAGGCAGGAAAGAGGAAAATTCTAGAGAGAACCTGGGTCCTAGGTCTTTTGTGGGTTCACTATGGACCTGGTGTATTGACAATAAATCAGACAGCCCTGTCTAAAGCCAGGAATTTGCTTGGGAGTGATGGTAATGCCCAGGTCAATTGTGTAGTTAAGAATTTATTCTAGGACATATCGTTGCTGTGTAATCCTCCCATATGCTTAAGTGTCTATTCTACAAGTTGTCTGTATTTAATTTTTCGATGTGTAACATAGAGCTCGAACCTAAAAGACACTTAAGGATGATGGCATATGTGGAATGCATGTGTATCTAAACTGGCTCCACTTTCAGCATTAGCTAGAGAATGATGCATACAATCATTAAAGAGATTTTTCTTTACAAACCTCCAAAATGGGAAAGTATTCATTTTAGGACAGCTGCATTTACATAATTAAAATTCAACCAATTCTCTAACTAAACAGAATTCCACACATGAATAGTTTCTCATGTAAGCAATCATTCCTATAACCCAGGTTGAGGCATTTAAAATCTTAACATTTTCCCTTCTTCATTAATTTGTTACAGAAGTAAGCATGTAGGATTGAATTTAGAAGATCAACTGATCTGAATGAAAATTTTATATAGTTAAAGATCTTATCTGTTAAAGCATTTTTTGTCTTCTTTTTTCAGAGGAATGCCTTGGAAACACAGAGTAGATACCTGACACTAAGGTATGTGTTTTGGTGAGACATTAAGAATCATTAATTAACTTTAAGATGTGCTTATTTAAATAGTTGCTTCTCTTTAAAACTTCCAGGACACATTAAAATTTCATCAGAAGCAAATTTTATGAACCTGAACAAGAAAATTACCTTCCATGTCTTCTAGAGCTTTGCCTATGTTGTTCAATGTAATGGTCTTCCCATCTGTAGCCTAAAATATAACAGAAAATATACAATATCTGAATGGAATCTATACAAAATTTAAGGAAATATCTTCAATGACCATTAGAACTATGTTTTATTCAAATAATTTTACCATTTCTCAATAAAATTACAGATGAGTATCAACAACAATGAAGGAAAATTCAGTCTTACCTATGGCAGAGAGGTTCCTATAGGTCTCCAGCATCACATCGTTGTAGAAGCTTTTCTGGGAAGCATCCAGCAAAGCCCATTCCTCCTTAGTGAAGTTAATGTGCACATCATCATAGGTAACTGAATGCCAAAATAATCCATGCATGTGTAAAGCAGAAAGTGTGATACTGACATTTGAACTGCATATGTTTTTGACTTTGTTTACTCCTGAAAGAAGACCTTAACTCCTCAGAGGAGTGGATAGTGGATGGGAAGAGAGAGAGATTGGGGACAGGAGATGGGGCGTGATATGAACAGGGGTTGGTATGTAAACTGAAAACTAAATTTAAAAAATTAGTGTATGCTTTGTATTATGCATCCAAAGAAATGGCTTTTGGTCTCCTTTGTAAATAACAAGGATTTGGAAAACAAGTTTATCCCAATTTTTTTGTACATGCAATTTTTTTCTGAGAGGCGTTTTCCATGTATGTACATGTGACATGCCAGAGATGAGGAAGTCAGACATACTAGATCTGTAATAGCAGGATGTAATGAGACTCCAAACATGGGTGTTGGGAACTGAACTCAGGATATTCCTAAGAAGAATATGTACTGAGCCACTAGCCAAGTCACTTAGTCCTTTTTGGGCAAAACCTTAAAAGCTTTTCACATATTAAAAACACCCAGAATAAAATAGCCTACATAAATTAAGATGTAAATAATCATTGGAAACTTGATGCCTCAATATTAAGATACCATATAATGAAAAGTTTCAAGATGAAATTAATAAAATATGAATAAAATTCCCAACATCATAAGATAGGATATCTTATTCAAAATCTATACGCAAAATGGAAACACATGTAATTCTCAAGAGAATAACAAAAATATATTACACACATTGACACAGTGTGGTCGGTTTAAAGACTCATAGTGACAGGAAAACAACAACAACAAAAAGTCATAGCTTCCAGGGGGAAATAGGAAGTCAGCAGAAAGAATCATGTAATGGGACCAACAAAGGAGAAGGCCACTGAAACATGACAGCATGAAGGGAACACAGGGCATCCCAAGACCATTACTGACTAAGCCCACAATGGCTTTTTGACCTAAAACCACAGCTCCATGTGGTGGGAAAAGTTGTGTTCTCAGATTCTGAGGAAACCTCTCCACGAAGGCCCTGGCTCCAGACCATTACATTCTCTCCCAAGAACCTTCCTAGTTTTAATGGAGAACCTCTATTTTATCCTCAATACCTCAGAGCCTGATGGAAAATTCCTAGGGCTGGGCCCCAGGCTGTTACAGGATCTGCAAAGCATGTTCCATGGATTTTGAAGGAGCTATGTTCTTTCTCCTTGAGTGAAGACCTATCCAGAATGTCTTTCTTGCTCATTTCAACTCTCAATGCACCACTGTTTTCCTTTGCAAACAGTTGTCACCTGATTTCATCTCGCCAATCTGGCCGAACTATGAAATGTTTCATATTAAACTGTACGTTTTTGGAACACCAAACCCTGATGTTAACTGTGACACAGTAATGCCCCCTTGAGCCTCTTGTAAAAGCCCTGTTCTGTGATATGGGGAAGGGTTTAGGGGCTGTTTATAAATCTGGGATTTCTCCTTTGTCATAGTTTGGAGTCAAATATCTGGATAATCCTGGAGAACATATGTGTATTTTAGCATCCTAATCTCTATCATGTCTTCTGAGCATATACTTCTCTTTGGGTTAGTTTAGTGGCAGCACTCCCTCAGCTAAATTTTGTTTTCTGTGACTAACCTCTCCCTAAGACTTGGTAAAACCTTTATATCAAGAATTCTACCCTTCCACATCACAGCTTAGTAGTGGTATGCCTCTATTTAGGGATGTCTTTGCTGACCCATGCCTTTAATCCCAACAATAAGGAGACATAGCAGGCAAATCTCTTTGAGTTTGGGGTAGCCTGATCTACAGAGAAAGTTCCAGATCAGTGTGCAAAGCTATACAGAGAAATCCTGTCTCAAAAAACCAAAATAAAGAAATATTTAAAAAAGACAGAGAAAGAATGCCATTTACACCATGCACAAAATTAACTCCAAATGGATCTTACAACTAAATGTTAAATGTAAAGTGCAGGACTTCTAGAAGATACTACCGAAACTCGTCTCTTCCAAGTTTGGCATTTTGCTTTCCATATGCACCAAAAACCCATTGGCATTGAATACAAAGATGTTTCCACAAAAGCTTGATGATAGAAATGCTTTATGCAGAATCAGCCCACAGAGTGAAGTATTCATAGGCCAGCACCAGGATCTGGAGAGTTTCTAAGGTCATATGGGACCTCAAAGAGCAGTAGTTCTGGCTGCAGGTTCCCACTCAGGCTCCGGGAGGGCCTGCCACACTCTCTTCCATGCCTCCTCATTCCAACCTCCCCATCTTGGGATAGCATTCCCTCAGTGACCATGCTCTGGCTTCTACTCTCATCAATGCCACCCTCACAATCCCCTACAACAGCACTCATAGCACAGAATTCAATCCACTGGAAGAGTCCTACAAGACTTGTGACTGGCAAGTTGGCCTGGTGTCCCTAATTATCTGTCAAGACTTGAGTGACAAGAGGTCTTCCTTAAAAATTAGAGTGTGCTTAAAGACACAGCATAGGGGTCTGTGGCCATTGCTTCTTCGCCAGCCCCAGAAATTTTAGAGATCTGCAGAGGCATGAATTTCAATATCACTCACCCCCTGTGTCTGGGAGATGACCAAGCTCATTCCTGCATTTCACAGGTTTATCCTCTTCTTCCTCCTCCACACAATGTTCTGAGCTTGCACAGACAATTGCACAATTTGGGCTGGAAAGATTTTATTATTCAACAGATGAAAGGTTGCCAGGATATTAAAAAATAGAGAGAGAGATGTTTAGGACACAAAAGAAGGTGTTTGTGCCAGGCGGTCTTCGCACACACCTTGAACTCAAGCCCTCAGGAAGCAGATGCAGGTGGATCTCTGTTAGTTCAAGACCAGCTGGTATACAAGAGATAGACCCAGTATAGCCTCTAAAGTCACAGAGAAACACAAACCTAACAAACAAACAAAACAAAAACAAAAAGAAACAACAGCAACAAAAAGATGGTTCTTCTGTGTCTTCTTGTTAGCAAGAACTGAGTCTAATTTTTACCTGGTAGTCACAGGCACCTCCGACAACCATGAGAGAAATGCATGGACCAGATCACAAACAAGATGATATATTTTTCTCCTGACAGAAGACTGGGTGACAGCTCCAGTGCATTGGGAGTTTTATTCCTAAAACTCATGTCAAACTCTTGAGACATGAATACTAATAAAAACGTAGTCTTTGCCAGGCATTGGTGGGAAAAGCCTTCAATCCCAGCACTTGGGAGGGAGAGGCAGGCAGATCTCTGTGAGTTCTAGACCAGCATGTTCTACAAGAGCTAGTTTCAGAAGAGTCTCCAAAGCCACAGAGAAACCCTGCTTTGAAATTGCCCCATGAAGAAGAAAAGAAATAAAACCAAGCCTACTCTTCATGAAATTGTATACTCAGAGAGAATGGGGCTAGGAAGAATGCCTTTAATATTTGACAATATTTTCTATGAGGCAGTATTTTTGAAGAACTGACCCGCCTTGTCTCTTCTTGTCTTAGTAAGGTTTGGCACTCACTCTCTTTTATGTGCTGCTTGCCCAATAAGGGCAGCATCCAGTCAGCAGATGAGGCATGAGTGCTTTCTTTCCCAGTGGCTTACTTTTGCTGAGAAGAAAGTAACGCCTCTGTGGAGCTATTCAATATCCATCATCTTCTCTGAAGCACATTGGTGCTACCAAGATCAGACATTCCTCATTTTTTAGAAACAAAAACAAAAATTATGTATCTAAGTGGTGATTTTGTACAAACATAAATCTTAGAAATCCATGAAGTCAGGATGCAACTGGAATAAGGTATCTCCCTTTAGAAGGTAATACTAAATTTCATCCATTACTTTAAATTTATTTGTTTTTATTTTATGAGCATTTTTTATTTCATTTTGCCTGCATGTATTTATCTGTGAGGGTGTCACATCCCCTAGAACTGTAGCTACAGACAATTGGGAGCCACCATGTGTGAACTGAGAGTTGAATCCAGATCTCTGGAACAGCAGTCAGTGTTCGTAACTACTAACACATCTCTCCAGCTCTATCATTCAGTCCTTCAACTACAATTGTAAATGATGGCTTTACAATTGGAGACAGAGTTTACTTTCACCTTCCTTGGTAATTGGAGCAGGATAATGGTATTTCCTTGTTAAGCATCAATTAAATTAGAACAGAGTTAGTTTCAAGACAGTCCCCAAAGCAATACAGAGAAATCCTGTCTTGAAAAAACCACAAACAAAATTGCATTAATAAACAAGTAGTTTTCCACTAAGTAACAAGTATCTATCAATTTGAAAACACAAATAAACAAATTTCACTATATATCTAAATGCTCATATTATTTTAGTAATTTTTCATCAGAAAAAACACCTAACCCTATGGTTCACTGTCTCCCATATTCTTTAGCTTTATACAATAGGAAATGATATTTTTGGAAAATTTATGTATTGTGGTAATAAAGCAATTGCTAAAGATGCTTCTGATTTGTAGTTACAGTGTAAATTATAAAATAGGACCTAAAAGTATAGAAATTTAATTGACTGGAAATCCCACTGTTTTAGTCAGGAATAGAAGAAAATAGAATCTTGTTCTCTATATATCATCTGTGTGTCTATCAATCCTCTATATCTATCTATCTATCCCCCCCTCTCTCACTATCATCTGTCTATCCATCATCTATTGTCAATCTCCCTAACTATCTATCATCAGTCTATGTATCCTATATCTATATCTATCATCTATCATCTGTCTTTCTCTATCTCTGTTTATATCTATCTTCTATCATGTATCCATCTATCATCTCCCTATCTTCTCTATCTCTGTCTATCTATCTATATCTAGGGTCTATCATCCATCCATCTATCTCTCTATCATGTGTCATCTGTCTATATATATATATCTATCATCTATTTATTTATCTTCTCTATCTATCCATCAATTCTCTACTATCTATCTATCATCTATCTATGTATGTGTGTATGGGGATTCATTGGAATGTCTTATAGGCTACAGTTCAATAATAACTAGCAGTGCATGGAAAGCTG